GAAATAACCATAATATTCAAGAGGCTTAAACATAAAAAATAAAAAATATTTTTGAATCAACAAAATAAAGCTGCACACAAAATTTATTTGTCTCCTATCAACTTACGGGACGAAAAAATGCAACACAATAAAATAATATAGCATTATGGTTTTCAAATTGTTGTTTACTTTGAAAGCAATAAAGATGCCGTATGATAATGTATAAATTATTGCAATACTACAATGATAGTGGAAAAAAATCTTATTCTAATTTGTGTCTCCAAAAGTTATCCAGTGTGTTACTCCGCTTCGATATGGGATAGATTTCTGTTTTCAACATTATTTACCTAATTTCGATGAGACAATGCCGTAGGCTTACTGTCAAGTGTCAGTTTTGACACATTTTTTTCATTTGTAGTCGTGACCATAAACAATTGTAAATTCCATAATTTAGAGCACACATTTCGGGCAGTGCATATGTGAATTCTGCGTGAGAAGTACTAAGATATCGTTTACTAGGTTCGAAATTTATAGTCAATTACCTACCAGTGTATGTCAAGTTTTTTTAAGTAAATCGCGCATGATTTATGACCGGTATTCATTGTTGAGTTTTGAATTTTCGAGTGTGTTTGTTCCAGTTCGTTACGTGCGTTATGGTGTTTGTTATGTTACACACTGGAATGTTATAAAGGAGGCTGTTCAGTGTTCACATAACTTAACCGACTACGGTGAAATGAAAAAGGTGTAATGTTATTCTGACGTACCTACATAAGAGTGGAGTGTTATACTATTCTGATTTATTATTACTATTGGTCCCTCAGTAGCCAAACTAGGAACTTTTAATTAAGAGGTCGTCTCCTTTCGTTAACTTTTCCACTCGCACAGGACCATATTATAAAAAAATGTTTAAATGATAAGAAGCATTTTTTAAAATTTTATTAATTGGCAAAATATAAATAAGTTATTATTAAAAACACATTTTTAATGTGGCTTTATTATATTTGTATGCTGAGTTTTTTTAGATAAACACAAAAAGGTTTTTTTTTAAATCATTACTTATTAAATTAATACTATATTATAATTCGCCTATTGATTACATTAAAAAAAAACGCATTTTTAAATTTCAATTTCTTTTTAAATATGGCTCTGTGTGAACGCGAATAGTGTCAAATGGGATAGCCCTTATAATTAAAAAAAAACAGTAACACAAAATTCTGTGATAAATGGTAATAATTACGGTATCTGTACTAATTGTTAACTGTAAACACATATTTGTTAAATTCGTTATATTTCTATAATATATATAACGTCGGGAATCAAAAATAAAAGTAAATAAAAAGTAAAAATAAACGCGATAAAATCCGTAAAAGTAGTTTTAATCATGTTTTAATCCGTTATATTTCTTTTATGAATGACCTACTTTGGTTAGTACCTACTGTTTTTTGTAAGCACAGTATTTTGTTAAAGGCTAATTCTACTGTGTTGTGTTATTTTGGTGTTTAGTTTCGTAAACATGCAAGCTATGCGTAGTCTAAGATTAGTTTTTGATTATTTAATCTTAATTTCATGAAAATAAGTAATTGATAATATTTTAAAATGGGTTTTACTTGAACCTATTTCCTAGTGAACATTGACCTTTATATTATTGCAGTATGTTATTGTGTTATCGTGTGTTATATCTTCCAGTGCGTTATTTATACTTTAACGACCTTTCCCATATACCTTTATAGCATTTACATAAGAATTCCTTTCATGCAATTTGAGCCTGCATTGAGGAAAAAATAAAGGAGCTACATTTCGTTCAGTCACATCTTTATGCCTTTCAAAGTGTTCAGTTTTACAAATATGCATACTTCTTTAATGTACAAGCATGTTAATGTTAAAATATTGTACTTTTTAAACAAGGGCTTACAGCTATCCGTATACCATGCTCCATAGATCGCCCGCACAATTTTTTTTGTACTTTAGAGTAGTAGTATTTAGATACTGTTATTATATCTACTTAATTGCCCCACAATAAAAGACCATATGAGAGTACGGACGAAACGGTGCGGTGATATGCACATAGAGCATTGTTGATACCATGACTCGTAATCTTTTTATTGCATAGACAATTCTGTGGAGTTTGTCACAAACGTAATCAACATGTGTTTTCCAGTCGCAATTTTGATCGAACATGATACCCAGAAATTTAGTACTTGCTACTTGTTCGATGATCTTATCATTATGTTTAACATTAATATTCTATAGTTTTCTTTTATATGTTTGAAATTGGATCATTTTAGTTTTTTTTTCCATATTAATGTGTAAAGTATTACAATAAAGTCAGTCTATTATGTTTTTAATTGCATTATTTATCTCTATTTCATATGTATCTGCATTTTCACATTTCACGATAAGGGTCATCAGCAAACAAGATTGTGTAATGGCGAGTGATATTAGGGCGATCATTAATATACATGAGGAATAAGAATGGTCGAAATACACTCTCTTGTGGCACTCCAAGTCATTTGGTTGATTGTCACTTCTGTACAACACTTTTTTGGCTTTTTTAATTTTAGATATTTCTACAAATTGTTGTCTCTCACATAAGTAGTTTCTCAGCCAGTCGTTAGCTTTACCTCTTATCCCATATTTTTCTTATTTGTGTAATAGCAATTTGTGGTCAACGAAATCGAACGCCTTGCTCACGTCCATGAAGATTGCCGCTACTGGAAGGCCTTCATTTATAGCCTGGGTGACTATTTTAATCAAATTAAAGCATGCTAACGAGGTTGTACTATTCCATTTAAAATTTGCCCCTCTTTAAGTATATGATGACTTGTCGCAAATTCTTGAAGTCTTCTCAGCATAATCTCGAATATTTTTGACAATATGGCTATCCGCGTCACTGGCCTATAGTTATTCATTTCATATGTATCGCCTATCAAAGTGGCTTAACGATGGATTTTTTCAATATATTTGGGACGGTACCCTCTTCAAAAGACATATTAATTAAATAACATAGCTGTAGACATATGTATCGTGCGGATAATTTAATTGCATTGGTTGTTATGTCTACAAATCCTACTGTGTTCGTGTTATTAAGACTTTTAACTATCCGAAATATTTCCATAGCATCAGTAAGTTTAAGAAATATGGTATGTATGTTATTAGTCGTAATAGTTTTATTTCGTCAACATTATATTTAAAATTGTTGTTATTTGTCAATTTTATATAAAAGTCATTAAATATGTCACCTATTTTCTTTAGGACGTCATTTTCATTTGTCCGTTTGTTTTATTATGTTGTTGACTAAGATAGAAATATCTTTTTCTTATACAGGATTTTCTAATGCCCTTCGGTCAACCATTTATGTATTTTGTATATACCCTAGAAGAGACGCCGAGACTTAGTTGTTATATTGTAATTAGGGATCCCGCGAATACTCGCTATTATTCGGTATTCGCCATTACTCGGCATTTTTTGTTACTCGTCGAATAGCGAGTAATAGTGTTCATTATTCGATATTCGGCGAATACTTAGACAGAAAAACTATAGATAGACTATAAAACAAAAAACAAACCATTAAACAAAACACACTTAGTATTAATATATATTCATCATTAAAAATATAAAAGTTAGCAAAAATCAGTAATGTCGAAGTTAATAAGGCTTTTTAATTAATATTCAAAGTCTAAAAGAGGTAGGATTATGGAGCAGAAACTAACTCACAAATAAACCAAACCTGCCTCAGAAAATAGTCTTTCTGAATAAACAGAGCTTGCTGGTGTGACCAAGTATAGTTCAGCAAGCTTACTTACAATTGGGCTTAAACTTCTGTCAGCCTTTGCTAACCTGATCTATTAGGCAATTTCATCAGCAATGGTATTATTGGGTTGCTCTTCATTAGGTTGCTTTGTTCTCGTAGATTTAGATTCTTCCAAAATATTTAATGAGTTTCTGAAACGAAATCCCCCTTTTCATTGTCTAAGCGAGGTCTTTTGGACGCCATTTTCTTACACAAAATGAGTTATATTATTTTATAAAAGAACTATAACAGAACGCGAGTAACCCGGGTTCGATCCCCGCCGGCACCAATGAAATTGTTAATTGCAATGTTAAGTGCTGATATACCACGTGCTCGGCGGTGAAGGAAAATATCGTGAGGAAACCTGCATGTCTGAGGAATAAGAAAAAAATTATTTCGAAGACATGTGAAGTTCGCCAAAACGCATTGGGGCAGCGCGGCGGACACTTCCTTGCCCTAAAACCCTCTCAGAAATCAGGGGAGGCCTGTGCCCAGCAGAGGGATGTATATAGGCTGTAACTATACTTTACTTTATATTCCTTTTTTATGTCGAATAATTATAGCGAGTATTCGACTATTCACTATGAGAAATGGTGAGTAATCGGTATTCGACTATTCGTCATAACAACTATTCGCGGCATCTCTGATTTTAATAGATCATTACACGTGTAGTAGCGGTGTAACAACATCCCCTACTTAACCTATATCGCTCCGTGGGTGTCATAAGCGGCGACAGAGGAATACTGATACAGGAGCGTCTTCCTTATGACAACTAGAAAATAAAAAAGTACGATCTTCAACCTTATGAGGCAATCTATGGTGATGGCTATGTTTAACAAAGAATAAGTAATAAATAAATAAGTAAATAGACCCGTTGGTAACGAAAGCAGGACAAACTAAAAATAATATTAGATGTTAAAATTTAGAGCTTATCAGTGCATAACGAACTCGAATATATCCCTCTAAGAGCGATTCTCAACTCTCACCATACAAAGCAGCAGCAACATGTTGCTATTTTACGCTGAAATTTTAAAAAATCCTGGACCTGTACACGGTACACTTAAATTACAGTTCTAGCTTTTTCAAGCTTTGTTTTCAGATTTCACAAACTTCTTTAGCAAAGAGAATAAGGACAACCCTTGTTTTAATTTTTTAACCAAATCACGGAATTGTATACCCACAGTAATTATTAATATACAATTATTTCTTATGTGTATCATAATTGTTACAGGAGAAAGGTACCTCATTGCCAGCTCAACGATTAAACAAGTACCCGTCACGAGGTTTACTAAAACATATTTTGCAGCAAACATACAATCAAGCTGTATCAGATCCTGACAAGCTTAACCAGTATGAACCTTTTTCACCAGAGGTTTGTATTTGTTGTATATATATGTTATTACTGGCTTCTGAACTAAAAAAATGTAAATCACCAGTTACAAAAATTTTGCCCTCATATTTTTCAGGTATATGGCGAAACGTCGTACGAGTTGGTTTGTCAAATGATCGATCAGATAGAAATAACATCAGAAGATGTATTTGTTGATTTGGGATCAGGGGTTGGCCAGGTCGTGCTGCAGATGGCAGCGGCGACGCCGTGTCGGGTGTGTTTAGGTGTTGAGAAAGCTGAAGTGCCTAGTAAATATGCAGAGGTACAAAGATTTTTTTTGTACAAAACGAAAATTAAAAGTTTGTTATTGCTGGTACTGTTATTTATTTTTATCCTTTATTTCAGAGTATGGATATACATTTTAGGATGTGGATGAGGTGGTATGGCAAGAAGTATGGAGACTATAAGCTAATAAAGGGTGATTTTTTATTGGATGAGCACAGAGAGAAAATAAATGCAGCTACGATTGTTTTTGTCAATAATTTCGCATTTGGTCCGCATGTCGATCATCAGCTGAAAGAAAGATTCGCGGACTTAAAAGATGGAGCCAAAATAGTCTCTTCCAAAAGCTTCTGCCCGCTTAACTTCAGGATAACAGATAGAAATTTGAGCGACATTGGGACCATCATGCATGTTAGCGAAATGTCACCACTCAAGGGTTCCGTTTCGTGGACGGGAAAACCAGTATCTTACTATTTACATATAATAGATAGGACCAAATTGGAGAGATACTTTCAAAGACTGAAAAACCCGAAACTCAAGGTCAGCAAAAGGGTCTGTTTCCAATCATATTATATACCTTACTATATAAATTAAATGACGACCGTATGGCCTAGTGACCAGAGTACTGGCGTAGTAGCTGCGGCTCTCGGGTTCGAAAACCACCCGGAGCCAACTTTTGTTCGGAACTAAAAACAAATTGTTGGTTTTCGGATGTGTCTGTTTGTGGTTTACCCAGAGTCCCAGTGTGCCTGACACGACATTCTAGCCTACCTTACGTTACATCGGATAAGAATACGTTTGGGATGAGAGTCTTGTTAGTGCGTGCACTTATGGCACTATTTTTTTTATAGAATAAGGGTGACAAACGAGCACACAATCCAACTGATGTAAAGTGGATGCTGTAATCAATAGACGTAGATGTCCCAAATAAAAATTCTCTATTCTCAAATCAAAATAAAAAAGGAAATGCGCCCTTACCCTAAAGACTAAAATGGAATGCCGCCTTTTCAGTAAATAGGATCTATTTTCGATTACCTGAAAATTGATTTGTTGGTCTAAAGCAGACCAAGAAGAATCATCTAAGTATTAGTATCAACTGTTAAAATAATATAAATAAATAAAATTGCTTATTTCGGACAACTAAAACGAGTATTCAACTTGTTTTAATTACCTTGCTTTAAAATAAAATTAGGGATGTTCCGATACGCCTTTTTGCCGATACGATACCGATACCGATGCTCTTTAAAAATATCGGCGATACAGATATGCAAATTCAATTCAAAAATAAATATAAAATAAATAGAATATAAGTATTTTTTATAAAGAACAAATAACAGGACAAACTAAATAAAGTCTTTTAAAACCATAGAAAGGTTGAGATTAGTTTTTAAAATTAGTTTTTAGTAATTAAAATTAACAGTTATGAGATTTTTGTTTAAAAAACAAAGTATTCTTAAGTTTTGCGGAGAATAGCGATTTCTCAAATCAGTTTGAATTCGACCTGCGGTGGAAAGTAGTCTCTCAGATACGACAACTCATTTGGGAACTAGAGTACTTCTGTGCTATTTTTTTAAGTTTGGATATAAGACGTCATTGCGTAAGAAAACGCACGGATCTGCGCCTCTCGATATATTAAGAAACCTTAAGTATCTCTCTACATCTTCTTTGAGAGAATTACAGCTCAAAGTAGACAGGGGAAACAAGACACAGCACAGCAAGAGCATAGTTAGTTCGTGACTCATTGGCAAGGAAATAAACGAGACAACACGCGCGTTTACAATACATTTTTGAAGCGCGAAATTTGAAAAGTATCGTTGAATCGGCCATAAAAATATCGTCGACGCCGATATATCGGAAAACTTCGAGTATCGCCGATATATCGGCATCGGTATCGGTATCTAATTCATACCTAAATAAAATCAATGTGCTTAATCCGCTAATTACGTTTAGTTCATGTTTTTTTATAATATTAGTTTTTTATAGTAAAACTCTTCACCGTTTTCTGTTAGTTCATACCACTTATTTTGTCTCAAACAAATAAAATTGTAAACACAAGTTCCGCGATTACAACGCGGTGTGTGCGTGTGTGTGCAGGGTTGTCAGAATGGCATCGAGGAAGGCGAGGGCAGCGGCAAGCGGCACCTGAGCGCGCCGCCTACTCGGCAAAGTTCACCCACGCCTGAGTTGCTCAACGGCAACAGCAATCACAGCACCGCCTCGCTGCCCGAGCGACGTAGGAAGGTGGCGCGCCCGCGTCCGGCCGTCAGGTATTTACATGAGCCCATTATTAAAAAACATCATATCACTTAAGGCCGAGCTGACTTTAGCCTGGTCAAGAAATAAAACTCTCCACACCTATTCTGTTTTTGGCTATTGACTTCCAACTTTATATAGCAATGTTTTAGCGTCTTATTTAACGCCATCCATTCTCTTCTATTTTCGCAACCATCTGGTCGACTTTCCGGTAAATGTGTGGACACTGTTATTGGAAATGGTAATATTTAATATATATCAATTCTTAGATCACATTCCGTTATAAATAAATTTAATTTACGTAGTTTACAAAATACTTTGACACATTTAAACTACAAAGTTATAAATCTTACTAATTTTGGTCTTTTGCCGTTATACAAAGAATCTCTTATAGTTTTGCTTCGTTTATTTGTCCTAACGTAAAAACATTTATCGGCTTGAGAAGGGTATCATTAGATTGATCTTTTAGGTTCCATAGACCACTTTTAGCAGTTAGGCTTCAAATTTGATTGCAGTCATCCTCCTCACCCTTCTACCTAAACATCTGATAAATGGCTAATCTACACAGTGGAATCATATTCGTGTGTACCAACTAACTTGCATTAGACAATTTTTTTTCTTGTATGTATATACAATATGTCACACGACTCAAAGTTTCTACGTGAAAAAAGTATAACACGTCTTTAACTTTCTAGTGGTTATTTGATTATTGATGTATCGTTAATAAAATTCTTTCTGCATCATTCGCTTTCAGAAAATAGAAACTTGTAAATGATATTACGTCACAATGTTTGCTTACATCGGCTTCGAATAGAATCACTCCCATAGCTTATAGTTTTCGTTTACATAAATATGAACTTTACGTATTACATACCTGTAAGTTCATTTTTAGAAGTTTTGACCCAAACAAAACGCATGAAGCATAATTAAATAATTTTAGGTTGAAAATTTAATTAGTTGCAGCAGTAATTATGTTTTTAAATTCGAAATTGCAAAATTGGCCTTTACTTTACCTCTGCACTTTTTGAAAGTCAAAAAAACTGACATTGCTTCAACAAAAACATACCTATTGCGGGAGTCCTTGTGTGAAGAAGCGGCGACGAACACACAAGTAGACTATTTTTGTCCCAATAGTTATATTTAACCTTATAATACATACCTAATTTTATACTAATTAAGAAAATCTAAAAGAGCTTATTGTCATCATAATTTTAAATAATCTTCTTATTTGAAGAAGGAAAAAAAATCATCAGTGAATTATCATATTGTCATTTCAATGAGTCCAAATACTCGTACGACATATTTAGTCTCAATAATCCGTTAATTTGTTTCATTAAATGCGACGTATCCTGGCTTCTCTTCACTTGCGTGTACTTCATTGGTCCCTAAACATATGTAGTCAGGAAGTAAGCGATTGGTGGTATAAAATTTACATTCATATACTTAGATTGGGCTAAAAACGAATTAATCATCCTGTTCGCAAATTAGATTTAAGAAGTTTACAATATAAATAGGTAGAGCGTTTATTTGCTTACTATTCTATACTAATAAATAAAATTTCATGCTGTTAAGACAAAATAAATGTCCGGGCTATATTCGGACTATGGTTTGGAACCAATTATGTGATGTGAGTTAGAAAAATTATCGAATGAAAATGTGAAAATGTTTGGTGTATAGATATGATATATCTTGTATTAAGGTATCATTGCGGTAAAAGTCTCACGTATATTTATACAGCGACGGACACAAAGTAAGGGTTAATCGATGTGCATCAATAGAGCAATTACGGGCTAGTGGAGTCGATGTTTAGATACAGTTAACACGACGTGCAAATAATTGTTCAGGGGTGAGAACGGGCGCACACGAGCTCGCGCGGCTGTAGCGAAGCGGCGTGCGGCGCGGCGCTCCAGCGACGAGAGCGACGAAGAGTCCAGCGGCACCGACGACGCGCCGCCCGGGCCCGAGCCCGCGCCGCGCGAGTGGGGCGCGCCATGGGCCTCCGCGGACACCAGTCAGTACCTACCATTGTCTTGTATTCTTATCTATATATAGTTTTTCTTGTTGTATCGTTTTGTTGTTGACGAACCTAGACCACCTGATCTTCAGTTGTGGAGTACACAGTTTCTAGCCTAATTTATAAAAAAAACGGCGTGAGCTGTATTTTCATACAACTTCGATTACAATTTAAAAAAATAATAATCCTTCACTTCAAGTGCATGTCTAAAGATTCGTATCGATTATTTTACACATATACCTTTGCCGTCTACTCAACAAACACACGTTGCCTGCTAGTGTGTTGTAACAAGTACAAATATACCTAAATACAGCTTAAAAATGTTGTTGATGACATTTGCAGACATAAAAAGTGTTGTTATTTTTCTTATGTTAAGACGATATTATATAAGTTGAACATGTGATGGTGATGGTGCGTGCGTTGCAGACCGTAGCCGGCGCGCGGGCAGCAAGCGCAGCGCGAGCGCGGGAGGCGCACGGCGGCGGGCGGCGCGCGCCAAGCGACGCCGCGCGCCGCCCGCCGCCATCGCCGGCCTCGACCTGCTGCACTCCACCACGCTCGCCTCCACGCTGCAGAACGGCACGGTGAGTCGCGCGCGTGCACACATGCACACGCAAGCACACGCACGACACGCACGCACACACACACCCACACCCGACGCCATCATTACGAATATCATGGCATTCGTAGCTTGTAACGATAATTATAAAACTCATTACTCATTAATCATCTAAAGTATAAATATAATTTGTATCACAATTAAATGTTGAAATTTATTATGTTTATTATGTAACACTACATATTAAATCTGTAATATGTAATCAAATGTAGATGAGCGCCTTTGTAAGGGTAATTTTTTATCACATTTAAATTACCTTTACAAAGGCGCTCATCTGCCTTTGTATGGTAAAAATAAAGCAATACTTATACCTTCGCATATTAATAATTTTATATGCCTTAACTGGTCAATCTGATTTAGGAGCTGCACTTTTAGAGGGATGTACTATTATACCATTGAACATAAATTTTTCCTTCATCTCTTAGCTAACAGAATATAGCGGTGTACATACAATAATAAAATATTAGCATCTTCCAACCCCCTTCAACTTCCCTTTATTCAAAAACTGTAACTCCGGAATTGAAAATATGTACACATCATGTGTGTGATTTTGCGTAAATTAGTTTTATCATGATTTACTAAATGACATTGTCACAGGACTCATGCTACTTGATATAAATCAGAGTTTGCAAATTAAATCATATATTATAGAACATCATCTTCAATATCTGAACCTACGAACAATTACAGGCACTATGGGAACCATAGAATACTATAATACATTATAATTGAACGGAGGAGTGGGCGGAGCCCGAGTAACCACTAAAATGTCACTAACATGTCAATTCACATGTATAAATGTCAACACGAGATGTGTTTTGACGTTACAATCGTTTCCAAATTTCACATGCAAATTATTTAGAAAATGTCAAATTGCACCCTATTTACAAATATATACTTATGTATTAAAATTTAAATGATTTTTTTAATGATGATCTTGAACATTAATCAAAAGTCTAAAATGTGTAAAGAATCATGTCCAGTCTTCACCTGATCGCGTCTAATGGTGTAAAATATCTTATAAAATTGCATATTTATTTCTTATTTCGTATCGCAAAATTGAATTTTCAAATAAAGCCACGAAAAAAAAGTAATGTTACTTTGTATATCATTCTCAATAGACTTTTGGAGACGGAACGTGTTTTACAGTGGCTCAAAGGCCTAGAAGCCATGCCCAAATATATTAAAAACGTGTTTTACACGTTCCGTTTCAGACTAGAAAAACTTGCTCATTCGTCATGTGGTTTATGAATGTTCAAAATAACCAATTTCTTTTTTTTTATAGATAACTAATTTATGATTAGATAGAATTTTTAATGGTTTTGTGCTATGGTGCGGAAAGAAAAATAAGTCTACAGATCTTATCTGACAGCTGTTATAACCTCTAGCATTTTTCCCTGGCCTCTAAATGAAAATATGATAAATTATTGTGTTATAGTAAACAATAATTGTTTTTATACAACAGTAGTTGTAGGTAGACGCGACCTGTAAAAGGAATCAAGTGACAGGTCATTCAATGTATGGAAAGTGGGCATGATTCTTTACTCAGTCTGTCAACACAGCGAATCGGGTTTGGCGACGCCAATCCTCGTACAAAATATGGTTGACAGCCATTCTATTGTGTATTATAGTATTCTATGAAGAGAACAAATTAGGTTCCATGGGATATACCATAATATGCTTTACAGCTCCTTGTTGCCAGTCTGACAATATAAATTTATCGAGTCATGTGTTGAAGCCGTCACACGATATTCTTTTCCTTTTCCTTAATCGACATTTGCGACAGACACGTGGCGTATTTAAAAAATATATATTCATTATTGTAAAGTTCAAATCTTTATTATCCTTTACGTAAAAATATCTCTTTGTTTTTGCATTTTCTAATGCATATTCAGGCGGTATCGTATGAAAAAATGTATGTATCTTTATGTTATCCATCCCCTAACATTCTACTGCTGGACATGAGAGGCACGCTTAGCAAGCGATTGTAGTGCCACACAACTTTCCTATGACGCTCCCCTCCTTGGCCAATTTGGGTATTTTACATCAAGCACACGCGATTATTCGCAGGCATTTTCCATCATCGAGTTGTTAGCGAAATATAAAATAAAAAAAGAAAATGTGTTGTGGCCAAAAAATGTTCCAAACGTATTCAAATAACATGCACATAATTGAGTTTTTGATAAATAGTGTTGTGCTAATCTTATTCTTAGCAGGTAAATATAAATCAAAACCTAGTTTTTAGTTTATAATAATGTGTATAATGGTGAAGTGAACGAACGCCTTAAAACAAATTTTACCTTTAGTTGATTTTATAATATTTTATTATCTATTGTTAATAATATATTAAAGATAAATATTAAATAATATTAGTTTACATAATCTTGTCTTATGACTGAACATTGACTTAACTTAATATAGTAAGTTAATGATTCTAAGGTTCGAAGGAGTATGGCCGTCGGTGATCTCCACAGAGGAACGCACGAGGGTTCGTCATATATCTTCCGTCATTGTTTGATGGCAAAGTTGGGTAAAATTTTTAAGCATGTGGAAAAAAGCAAGAAAATTCATTGGTGTGTCAGTGTCAATGCAGAGTAACCGAGGGACCAACTACTTATCAACATTATTTTGCTCTTTGAAAGTTTTTTTGTTTCTATATATTTAATATTTATATTTTAATTGTATGACTAAATAGGTAAAGTTGCATGGCAAGCCTCATCGATTCATCACCACCAGGAGGCGTACACGGAGACAATCACATCGAGTCTTCTTAACACTTATGTGATAGTTGGATGAACTTGTTAAAAATAAAAATGTTTATGGATTATCGCTGTTTCTTTTGGTTCTTGTGATACCAATGGATATCCTAATACAGAAAAGAATACTCTTTGATTTTGCTTCTTGTTCAAATGATCTTTGTTTACGTTACAATTAATTTGCCTTGCTTCATAAATCTGTTTTATCTAGATGTATCTTTTACTTAGAATTCATTAGAATAATTTATTAGAATGGATCACTAGTAAATTGCTACTTTAAGTTTGTTTTAATTTTGTTATATATTATTTATGCATAATTGATATAGATTCATAGCCATTCCACTTTGTTATATTAGGAATATTAATTACTTAATAAAGGTTTGTTTTAAATTTGAAGTGTAATAAGAAAACTATGTTTTACGCATTGTAGAGGCTCATTACAAATTGTACTTCATGTATGGTGTGTATGTATATTGTACAGGGTTGTTTTGCAATAACTGGCCAAATTTGCAAATAAGTTTCAGAATACGTAAGTAATAAAAGTAAATCATCATCATCATCATCATTACAGCCCTTCACAAGTCCACTGCTGAACATAGGCCTCCCCCAAGTAATGCCACAAAGCACGGTCCTGAGCCACCTGCATCCATCGACTTCCTGCATGTCTTACCAGGTCGTCACTTCATCTAGTGGGGGGTCGCCCTACACTACGACCGGTAAAAGTAAATGGTGTACAAGAATTAATTTTAAAAAATTCTCAAACATTCTGTCTTTTAATAATATCGTTTAAATTCAAAATGCCTGGTAATGCATTATTTTAACTGATTGTCATTCATAAATATCTTCTTTACTAGGCACGCACACACTCGTAAGGGTCGTGCGGTCGGCGAAATCGTTTTGAATTGAATACCAATCAGAGAAGCGTGCATACGCGTAGTTGTAAATAAATCACATTTGATTTGGTATAATTTCAAAAGTAGAACCCTTATTTACTCGTTTTTTTTAACTGCAATAACTGTATAATCATTATTTATATATTTGAACTTAAGTTTAAAATTTGGCTATTTTAAAAATAATCCTGTATGATATATATATGTTGGTAAGTGCTGCTGCGTTACATTTCAAAACCAAAGTTATATTATTGTTTTAATGAGAATTACATTACTGAATCTATTTAGAATACGCGTTTTTAGCGTTTGGGTTATCCAACCTTTAAAAATGCACATTGCTTATGCTAATAATATTACTTTCAACATTTCTATTTATATTACATTTTAACGCCAGCATGCAAGTTTACTTACAATATTAACATTTCACTTGAAATTGTGTTAATTGTCTATTGGTGACTTCGTCTACAAGAGCCTGTCTGATCTATAATAGCAAGTTTAAATCATTAAAAAAAACTTTTTTATTTGCTGTTGCGTTTATGGCACATAAGCCATTTGTCTAACGTAAAAAATAAAAATATTTCAAATTATACTATGGCTTGTTACAAATCTGATTTTTTTTAAAGAATAAAAGGGAAGTAGCCCGTCTTAGCTTTTTGATTGATACCGTTCACTTGTCACTATTATCATAAATCATTATAATTCAATTGGTAAGTATTATCTCTTAGAGACTGTTACAATATATTATGGTCCTTAATTATATAAATTTCTTGATATCCCACGTACTCACCATATTGTAGTGAGGGTTTTCATTACGTTGTACAGGTCTGCCAAAAAGAACTGATTGTTACTAGTCGTTGGTTCTATAATTAACGTGTAAGAGCATTGCTATTTGAGCTTACTGATACTTTGTAAAGGTTCGGTGTTATGTTGCGAACCCTTATGCATTTGTACATCGATAAAGGTAATTCTGGGGTGTCAGGTTGCTGTACTCTAGTTTTTGGTAGGATCAGTCGCTGCTGGCGTGGAGTAAAGTCAAATTTATATTGGAATTACAAACACAACAAACGTACATTACAACTATCCGAGGCTGTATATTTTGCTAGCGTTTTGCAAGCAGTGGGATACAGTTTCATTCTAAGAGGATTGATATCCATTGACTGATGAGATCGGTGCCTCTGGCATCAGGAATGCGGCGTGTAAGGGGAACACGCCAAACAAATGCGACAGTACCGACTTAATGTGGCTTTCTAAAATTCTTCTAGGTGGAATGGAGAACTGCCCAAATAGTTTATCATAAAAATTAAAGGTCATCATTTTTAAATCCACGATAAATTGTGTACCTATTACTCTATTAAATTTATGACACTATATTTTGAAATATGAAGTTAATTACTATTATTGTTTAATATTATTGGTGTTAAATATTAACCAAAAGTTAGCAGAATTATTCGATGCAACTCTGATATTGAATTATCATTGGGGAAATACTCGAGCAGTTGTCCGCGCATTGTGATGGTAATGTAGTGCGGCAATGAGGGCTAAAATAATAATATTTCACACACCAGATGTCGCTAGTTGTGTCGGAGTTAATTTTTTTTTTTGTTACACAGTGTCAGTTAATTGAGAATTTGTCTTAAATTGTAGTTTATCAGTTTCTCGAGTATTATAATAATTCACACAACATTGCCTCGGTGGTTTGTTCTTTAATTTTTTGCACTTTTTAACTCTTTTTTTTTCTACTTTTTAATTAATTAATATGAAATATATCTAATAATACACAAACAAACTTTCATCATTACATTTTGCTAAGAAATTATCATAAAATATAAATATAATAATTAAAAGAAATCTGTCAAATATTTCACATTGTTGCAAAGTATCGGGGCCCTGTTGGCTGATTGTCGTCATGTCGGTGCAATATAAAGTGCGGTGCGTGTGGTGGCGGTGCGCAGGTGACGGCGCCGCCGCCGGGCTGCGTGGGGCAGCGGCTGTCGGCGCTGGGCGTGCAGCTGCAGCCGACCGACCGCCTGCACTCGGAGCTCGACATCCCGCGCTCGCCGCACACGCCCTACAGCCTGCAGCTGCTGCTCGACATGTTCCGCGACCAGTACCTCGCCTTCATACAGCGCCTCAACTCGCCGGAGTACGCGCGCGACGTGCGCCACCACATCGACAAGGAGAAGGTCGGTACAACACTCACCTAACGACAACCAGTAAAACACTCATTCTCTTCATAAACTCGTAACTGTTCATTAAGTTGAGTTCAGTACCATTTATATTTGATCCCTTTAAAATTATTGAGAATACGTTGATGTAATGCTTATTCTAATATCAAATATATTTATTTACGAATAAAGCCCGTATAGATAAAGAATGTGATTTGAAATGGCGGCTCATCGAGTCCGTACCGTCAACATGCGTAGTACCAATTTCAAAAACACGCTAATAACGGTATATCATTATAACGTTATACTATTAGCTTTACAGGAAATTTTCTATTAATTTGAAAATATTTGGAAAAAATTGTATACGCAAGTTAACATTCATTTTACATTGCATTAATTTTAATATAACATTTATAAGGAGCGACCCGTTCTGGCCTCGCCTGGGTGGGATCTAATAATGTAGCTTTATTTAGACTTAAGATGATGATTTAAAGACCATTCATTTTATCTTATCAATATTTGAATTACAAAAAGAATCTAAATTCTTCGGATAAAATTAGTGTAGACATTAGACAGACAGACAAACGAACATGTAAAAAATGAGTTTGCTATGTCTCGAGGGCATGTAAATATTTTTATTTTTTTTATAGAAGAGGGGGCAAACGAGCATGCGGCTCACCTGATGTTAAGTGACTACCGCCGCCCATGATCAACCGCAACACCAGGGGAATTGCAGGTGCGTTGCCGACCCTTTAGAAAGGAGTACGCTCTTTTCTTGAAGGTCCCCAGGTCGTATCGGTCCGGAAAAATCGCTGGTGTTAAACTATTCCACAGAGGTTGTACGCGGAAGAGAACTCCTCTTGAAACGTACAGTGGTGGACCGCCAAGCATCCATGATGGTTTGGATGGTATCGGGAAGTTTGCCGCGTAGTGCGTTCACGAAATTTGGCGGTTGGGATTAATCCTAACAATTCCTCAGAGCACTCTCCATGGTATATGCGAAATAAAATGCTAAGAGATGCAACATCTCTTCGCAGTGCCAGTGAATCGAGCCGATCGGAAAGCACTCGGTCGTCGACGATTCAAGCCGCTCTGCGTTGGATGCGGTCAAGTGGAAGGAGCTGGTACTGAGGAGCCCCAGCCCAGAGATGGGAACAGTATTCCATGTGCGGCCGAACCTGCGCCTTGTAAAGTTGCAGGCGGTGTGCCGGCATGATATACTGTCCCGCTCTGCTGAGCACGCCAAGCTTTTTAGAGGCCAATTTAGCCTTCTCTTCCAAGTCGATATGTCAATATGTCGACGCCGAGGATTCCGATACTGGCTGAGGCAACAAGAGGAGTGCCTTGAAACTGAGGAGATACGACAAAGGGGTTCTTTTTAGCGGTTAACGCGCAAACTTGTGTCTTCTGGGGGTTAAACTGGACTAGATGTAGTCGCCCCCAATCCGAGACTCTGTTCAGCAAAGACTCGACTTCAGACACAAGTTTGTCCCGGCACTCGGAGACGTTTTCCCGAGAAACATTGGCTCGGCCGGTGTAAAGAGCATTACCAGTGCTGTCATCTGCATAGCAATTAATGTTACGGGTTTGCAACATATCATTGATATGCAGAAGATACAGCGTTGGCGATAACACGCAGCCTTGTGGAACACCAGCATTAATAGGCTTGCAATCGGAGCTTGCACCGTCTACAACGACCTTGATGCCTCGATTTGCAAGAAAGCTGGTGATCCAATCGCACAATATCTCGGGAAGCCCATAGGATGGGAGCTTCGAAAGAAGCGCTTTGTGCCAAACCCGATCGAAGGCCTTCGCAATGTCCAAACTAACGGCCAATGCCTACCCCTTGGACTCTACTGCCTCCGCCCATCTGTGAGTTAGGTAGACCAGAAGATCACCAGCTGACCGACCACGGCGAAAACCGTATTGGCGGTCACTAATCAGCTGGTGATTCTCAAGGTACCTCATGAGCTGGCAGTTTACAATGGACTCCATTGTTTTGGAGAACAAGGAAGTGATGGCGATAGGCCGGTAGTTGCACGGGTCTGAGTGATCGCCTTTTTTAGGGATCGGGTGGACGAAAGCCGTCTTCCATGATTTTGGGACTACGCCTAGGGAGTAGGAGTACCAGAAAAGACGCGTTAAAACCGGTGCCAACGCTGGAGCACACGTCCTCAGCACATTTGGGGGAATTCCGTCAGGCACACTCGAATTGTGGATGTCCAGGGAGGGGAGTGCTTTGCGAACCGAGCGCTGTGTGAACTGCACTTCCGGCATGGAGCACTCACACCGCGGAATGGTCGGTGGCGTACTCCCCCGTCATCGAGAGTCGAGTTGGATGCAAAGAAAGAGCCTAGAAGATCGGCTTTCTCCCTGTGCGGAGATGGAAGAGATGGCTAACAGAAATTCCCCTGGACAGCCTTGGCGAGAGACCAGAATGCACGGGTTCCAGAAGGAAGGCGAACTAGTTTCTCGCCAATTCTGCCTATGTGCTCTGACTTTGCCTTGGCAATGACTCTTTTGAAGGACCTAGAGGCGGTATTATACTTCTTTTTTAGAGCGCTGGTGTTACATCCCGGGACGCTGATGCATCAGCCCATGCTTGGGAGCACTCCTGCTTATAGTATGATGCTGTTTTACAGGAGCGACCAAACCATGGCTGAGATTTGCCTCCAATGGGCACCACAGAGGAAGGAATAAAAAGTTCCATACCCTGAAGTACCACATCAGCGACAGAATCCGCAACAACGTTGGGATCGTCCGGCGAGAAGCAAACCCGCCCCCAAGGGTAGGATGCAAAGAAAGACCGCATCCCATCCCAATCGGCTGACCTATAGTGCCAAACACGGCGGCAGCCTGCAGAATGCAACTGCGATTTCAGCGTGAGTGGCACCACACTCCGAACAAGACAATGGTCCGAGGAGCCTAAAGGGGCGTCGACGGAAATCTGATATCCGTCCGGGTGAGAGGCCAGCAGAAGGTCCAACAGGGAAGGTACATGATCATCCACATCTTTAATCCGCGTAGGCGAAGTAACCAGTTGTGTCAGACCATATGCCAAGGCAAAATCATGAACAGATCTCCCCGCATGATCGGTTAAACGTGAACCAAGCCATTCGGCGTAATGGGCGTTAAAGTCGCCGAGGATCACGATCTCTGCGGAGGGGATCTACTGTAGCAACGAATCTGTAGCCATTTGGACGTGGTCGAAGAGTCGGTTTGTTTCGGCATTACCGCTATGGGACCTATAGAGGCACCCGTAGACGCGCGGATGGTCGTCGCTGTCTACGCGTAGCCAAAGGATGGACAGGTCCGAACCTTCAAGTCTGCCGAGGCGTCGAGAACAGATCTCCTCTCTGACGTAAACGCAAACTCCACCCCGAGGCACAAAGTAGTGTTCCAGTTTGTTACTCCGGGTAGGAGAGATACGGAGACATCAGCCGGAGAGGACACCTGCGTCTCGGTCAGAAAGAGCAGAGCCGGCCTCGCCGTCTCGAGATGGTAGTGGACGGCGTTTAAGTTAGAGTGAAGTCCCCTGATATTGCAGAAATTCACGGACAGCGTGGCAGGGGTCGCCTTGGTCTTGTTGCTCCGTTTGCCCCGAGCAGTTGTAGTCTTGAGCGGAATTTGCCCCCAGAATACGCGGGGCAGCCTGAGCACCCGCGCTCAGAAGTGGAGAAACATGGTCGTGGATGCTCAGCGAGGGATTCTCCAGGGGTGCTGGTACCCTCCTGGGGTATTTTATACAAAAATATTAACAAAAAATGAACTTTAAAATGAATTTACAATTTTATTCACTTTTAACGTAGAGTATTTAATGTATTGAACAAAATATTAATTCATAAAATTGATCAAAACGAAATCAAATTACCAAAAATAACTGGCTATGGGAGAAAGAGAGAAAGATAATGTGCGCGCGCACTGCTCTCTCTTGCTTATATCCCCCACTTAACTTCCTTTCGCGTCGCCCGATCACACTTTTCGTAACGCTTCAAGTCAAGCGTGCGTAAAGAAGTTTTATTTCAATAATTATGAAGAAACTCTCAGAACGTAGCGTAACGTCGTATCTCACAAATAAGCGAAATCGTACTGTTTTTTTTTTGTAGTGTATGGCATTTTATTCTCATTCTAATGACAAATTGAACTGAAGTTATAGAACGTAACGAACGTACAGTCATATTTTAACAAGACAATTATTATGATTACAGGAAAGGAACCAAAAACTGAAGTCCCGTGCGTCTCAATTAGACAAACAGATAAATGTATTGATAAGCGATAGCGTTGCACTTTTGAAAGCCCGCATGAGTGAGCTCGGCATTCACGCCAATAACACCGTGGATCTATTAGCAAAAGCTAAGGAAATTGTTGGGAGACACAAAGAACTCCAAAGTAAAGCAAGCAAATTGCAAGCGCAGGTAAAATACTCGGCACAGTTATTAAACGATACATTATATATCACGATAATAATGTTATAATATTTCATTTGCATTCTGATTTCATTGCAGGTAAACAATATAGAAGCCGAACAAGCAATTCTTGTAAAACAACGGACTTTTGAAATAACTGAAAAGTATCGCCAGATGGGCCACATACCTCCAGATGTAGAAATCACCCAGAGCATAGCTCATGATTGTATTTTAAAAGAGATTTCCGCTACGCTAGCGCATCGAAAAAGATTGCACGCGCAGGTGGGCCACTTACAGAATGAAATTGTTCAGATGGAAAGAGCTAGCGAGCAGAAAGTTGCGGCACCTACCGTTCCCGTGGCCACGGTAAAACCGCACACGGTGAATGTAAAACCTAGAAAATCGAGAGAGCATCGGTCGCGGTCGCAGGAGTGGCCCGATGTACCGGACGTGGGAAAGATCGAGGAGCAGAATCCGGAAATTCTCGCACAAAAAATACTGGAGACGGGACGTCAGATCGAGGCGGGCAAGATCGCGAAGCCGAACGTAATAGTGAATGGATATACGCGGGAAGCTGAACAGCATCGGCAGGCGAAGGCAGCGCCCGTGCACCGCACGCAGCCGCAGCCGCAGCGTCTCGTCCAGCCGCCGCCGCTCGCGCACCGCCAGTCGCCCGTCAAGCTACAGAAGCCGCTCAACGTCGTCACCAAGGTGCAGGAGTCGCCGAAGGTGATCAACTTCGAGGACCGCCTCAAGAGCATTATAACGTCGGTGCTCAACGAGGACCAGGAGCAAAGGAAAGCTTCGCGACAGCCGACACCCAACCACACGTACGCGAACGGGTACGTGCGACCCGCGACCGGGCAGCACGCGCCGTTTGCACAGCGGCCGGTGGTGAGTGGCGTGCCGAGCGGGTACGCGAGACCCGCCCGCGATCTGCGCCGCGAGCGGTACGGGTACGAGCGCCGCACAGAGCCGCGCACGCCGCACGGACCCCACGGCCCCCCCGCGCCGTATACCTTGCTCGAACAGCGCCATCATCATTCCGGCCAACCGGATTACACACAAGTTAGTATTCCTACGTTAATGTTTCGTTTACGTGAAATCATCTACTGAGTGGCTAGAGGTAACCTACATAGATAGTAGATAATATCATGTCGTTTCTATTACTATATTATTATTATTATTATCGTCATTTATGTTGTTAAACACCGGCGCTCAAAAACTGTCATAGAGGACCCTCGTAAAATTTTCTGTACTAGAAGATAGTGCATTATATATTTGAAGTGTCATTTCTCTTTACTTACATACTTTCTCTTTTTGATTTTGATCATTTACTTACTATTTTTAAGTCAATAGATGGAGCAGAATGTCCCTTTATGTCGTAAGCATACAACATTTATTTTTTAAGTATTATCATGGTCTCTAAAGAATATTATAATTATACTGAATATGTTAATGCGGGGCAACACACGGAATTTTTTCCAGAAATGAGAGGAAGCCTAGATACGGCAGTGGTATATGTAACATACATGACTGTACTTTACTGTTGTATTACTTATTACTAACGCTTTGAACGATAGTTAGTGCAACTCATATATATACTAACAGCTGGCGTAGTCTACTGCTGGATGTAACTTTCTTAAAATATCTCTGACATACATGACTTAAAAGATTTTCCAAAACTTACCACTGTTAATGTTGCTTCTGATTCACCTGTTATTGAAATTTTAGTTCAGCATTCATCATTTCATTGTTCAATATAATGCACCATGGTCAGGTGAGGCTAGCAAATGTGATTTATTCTAAACCAAAGACATTTAAGTATTAGAAATAGACCGGATATCAGCAAAAAAAAATAATGGTGATCTGTTACTTTTATCCTATAGGATGTATTTCGGATTTATGTCATTCAATCATCAAAAATTTAAGTCAGTCAAAAGGTCAAGGCGCTTTCGTTTCCTTAATAAAATATTTTTAAAGAAAATATGCCCCATTGTGCATTAAGGCTGTTGTAAATCCTGACATGGAGCAAAACTTTTTTTGAACATGATTTCGGTTTATTATCGCAAGTATAATGTATATTTACTCAATAATTTTTAAATTTTATTATTTCTAGTAGAATTTTCTAGAACCATTTATTATTATTGTAATAAGCGCCCACTGTTATTCAGTAACGTCACTATTTATTTACCAAATGAGTAAGTGATTCACGACGTTTATCGATTTGTGTTATCGATAAAAATGTTACACAGGATGGCGATTTAATCATTTACATCTTCGACGATTCGAGCTGCTCTACGTTGTATGCGGTCAAGTGGAAGGAGTTCGCGCTGGGCAACCCCGGCCTTGTAAAGTTGCAAGCGATGTGCCGGCTTGAAATACTATCCCGCTCTGCTGAGTACTCGAAGCTTTTTAGAATCCAATTTAGCTTTCTTGTCTAAGTGACCACGAAAATGCAGGTCATTGGATATGCCAACTCCGAACATTCCGATACTGGCTGCGACAACAAGGAAAGTGCCCTAAAATTGAGGAGATACGAAGCGGTTCTTGTTGGCGGTAAACTCGCAAAGTGCTTTCCTAAAATATGTTAAATTTAAAATGTATTTTTGTAAAAGGAACGAATTTCAAGAACATGCAGGCGATCTCTTATTGGATTTGACGTTTCTCGATGCGCCTTTGACCTACCAATCATATGCTATTATTATAGAGTCTAAGGCACTGAGTCTGTACTGTGATTGCTGTTTGAATTGATTTTTAGCTATTGGAAATTAAATATTTTATTTCATGACACTAAAATTACGTAAAAAGTTAATATGATTATTTTCGCGTGATGGGAGGGTGTGGTAATTAGATGTATGTAATAAAACAAATATTTTCATTGATAATAAAACAAGCATTTTCCCAATTATTATATCGTAAAGTATTTCAATTTTAATATCCTTCAACAACATTATCGATACTTTGATGTCGAAACGTCAACATTCCTCAAACAGATTTTACTTTATATTTATTATCGTCACCTACTGGTGAATAGCTGAAATGTTTTCCCAATAAATGTTCAGCGTAGTTTTGCTACCTTCAGCTAGAGGGGGATACACGCGCGCGGACTCTAAGTTTTTGTATGTATTAATGTATGTAAATATTCCCAATGTCCGCTCGGTAGTATAGATATTTAAATCTCTTCGTTGTAGGCAAATAAACACTATTGACGCTAAATTAAAGTGCAATTACAGTAGATGATAGCCGTGTAGTGGCGGTTAAGAATATCCACTACCCCATATCTTCCCGTGGGTGTCGTAAGAGGCGACAGAGGGAGACAGGCAGGAGATGGGCAGCAGCGTCTTCCTGATGACGACTGTGACGTAATAAAAAACTGCGGTTGCCAACCCGCTCGCCAAGCGTGGCAACTATGGCAAATACCCCCCAATGAATAAATACACAAACAGACGGCCCCCAGTCCCCGGCGGCCCCGCTATTCCTGGCTACGGTGGCGACCATGGTAACGGCGGGGCAGGGGGTGCTAAGAATCTCCGGTGGAGGTTCGGTTGCCACCTACGACGACTCGACCTGGCAACATATAACGCACGCACCCTGAGGACTGACGAGAAGATACTGGAGCTGGAAGAAGAGGTAGACAAGTTGCGCTGGCATATTATTGGATTATCCGAGGTCCGAAGAGAGGGGGAGGACACGGCAATCCTCGAGTCCGGCAACTTGTTCTATCACCGGGAGGGCGACCATCTGTCCCAAGGAGGTGTCGGATTTATCGTCCACAAATCTCTCGTCAACAACGTTGTAAAGATTGGGAGTGTGTCGACGAGGGTCGCGTACCTGATACTCAGAATCACCAAACGGTATTCGCTGAAGGTCATTCAGGTTTACGCACCAACCTCGGCACATCCCGATGAGGGGGTGGAGGAAATGTATGAGGATATTTCCAGAGCCATACATTCCTCCAAAACCTACTACACGGTGTTGATGGGAGACTTCAACGCAAAACTGGGCACAAGAGAAAGCGGTGAGCTGAAGGTAGGGAAATTTGGAGTAGGGCAACGGAACCGAAGGGGCCAGCAGCTGGCCGACTTTATGGAGAAAGAGGGACTCTTTATGATGAACTCTTTCTTCCAGAAGCGGCCCCACAGGAAGTGGACCTGGTCGAGCCCCGACGGTTCGACAAAAAATGAGATTGACTTCATTATGACGACCAGACGCCAACTGTTCAGTGATGTCTCAGTGATCGCAAGGGTGAAAACTGGCAGCGATCACCGAATGGTTAGAGGCACACTGAACCTAAACGTTAAGTTGGAGAGGTCTCGTCTAATGAAGTCAACGCTCCGTCCCCCTCGTGCTCTAATCCAGAATCCCGAAACCTTTCAGCTCGAGTTACGTAACCGCTTCCAGTGCCTAGAAGATTGCAATGCAGTGGACGATATGAACGACAAGCTCGTGGAAACTGTCCATGCGGTCGGAGCTAAGTTCTGCAAGACCCGCCGCAGAAGAACACAAAAACTCTCCGATCACACTCTTAATCTCATGGCTGTTAGACGGGAGATGAGGCTGCAATCGTCAACAGATTTGACAGCATACAGGCAACTGAACAGACAGATCTCCAAATGCATACGGCGAGACTTACGCAACTTTAATACTTCTCGTATTAAAGAAGCGATCGAGCGGAACCAGGGCTCCAAAGTCTTTGCCAGAGATCTGTCTGCCAGAAAGAGCCAACTGTTAAGGCTGAAGACTGAGTGTGGCAACATCGTTTCCGGGACACCTGAGATTTTGAGTGAGATTGAGAGGTTCTATGGGCAGCTGTACACATCATCGTTGGAGCCACACGCAAGTGCGAGTAACGATCCAAGAGCAAGTCTTATCCGACACTATTCCGATGATATCCCGGACGTCAGTCTAAGCGAGATTAGAATGGCTCTCCAGCACCTTAAAAACGGCAGAGCCCCAGGCGAGGATGGAATTACAGCGGAGCTTCTGAAAGCGGGTGGAACACCGGTACTTGAAGTCCTTCAGAAGCTCTTCAATTCCGTCCTCCATGGTGGCACTACTCCAGAGGCGTGGAGCAGAAGTGCGGTGGTTTTGTTCTTTAAGAAAGGCGACAACGCTCTCTTAAAGAACTACAGACCGATTTCCCTTCTGAGCCGCGTCTACGTGCTGTTTTCGAGAGTCATTACGAATCGTCTCGCACGCAGACTTGACGACTTCCAGCCTCCCGAACAAGCCGGTTTCCGAAAAGGCTTCAGTACCATAGACCACATACATACCCTGCGGCAGATTGTACAGAAGACTGAAGAGTACAATCTGCCACTTTGCCTGGCGTATGTGGACTATGAGAAAGCCTTTGATTCCGTCGAAATTTGGGCGGTGCTACAGTCCTTTCAGCGGTGCCAAGTTGACTGTCGGTATATCGAAGTGCTGAAGTGTTTGTACAGTAGGGCTACGATGGCTATCCGAGTACAGAACCAGAGCTCGAAACCTATCCAACTGCAGAGAGGTGTAAGACAGGGTGACGTTATATCCCCGAAACTCTTCACCGCTGCATTGGAAGACGTTTTCAAGCTACTGGACTGGAAAGGATACGGTATTGACATCAATGGCGAGTACATCACTCACCTTCGATTTGCCGACGATATAGTCCTTATGGCAGAATCGCTGGAGGACTTAAGCACTATGCTCAATGACCTCAATAGTGCCTCCCAACGGATAGGTCTTAAGATGAACATGGACAAAACAAAGATCATGTTCAATGTCCATGTCACACCTATGCCGGTAGTTGTTGGGAGCACTATGCTCGAAGTTGTTGACGAATACGTTTACCTGGGACAAATAGTCCGACTAGGTAAGTCCAACTTCGACCGAGAGGTCAATCGACGGATTCAACTCGGCTGGGCAGCGTTCGGGAAATTACGGCATATCTTTTCGTCAGGTATACCTCAATCTCTAAAAACTAGATTGTACAACCAGTGCGTGTTGCCAGTGATGACTTACGGATCTGAGACGTGGTCCTTCACTGCTGGCCGTATGAGGACGCTTAAGGTCGCTCAGCGAGCTATGGAGAGGGCTATGCTCGGAGTTTCTCTGCGTGATAGACTCAGAAATGAGGATATCCGCAGTAAAACCAGAGTGACCGACATAGCCCAACGGATTAGTAAGCTGAAGTGGCAATGGGCCGGCCATATAGCTCGAAGAACCGATAACCGATGGGGAAGAAAGGTTCTCGAGTGGCAGCCTCGTACCGGTAGGCGTAGTGTAGGGCGACCCCCCACTAGATGGAGTGACGACCTGGTAAGACATGCAGGAAGTCGATGGATGCAGGTGGCTCAGGACCGTGCTTTGTGGCATTACTTGGGGGAGGCCTATGTTCAGCAGTGGACTTGTGAAGGGCTGTAATGATGATGATGATGATGACAGTAGATGATGACTGTCAAAGGTTGTATAAAAGTGGTTATTACAATATTAAGGAAATTATGAATCATAATAATCCCTGGGAATGAGGTGGATAACTACCAAGTATTTCTAATTTTTGTGTAGTAAATTGTGTAATATAATAAAATATTGTAAAGTATTCTCTTTTCACAAAAAAAATCAGCTAGGTTTCCTGTTGTTTCTTCCCAGGGCAGAGGTATTTTCCGAAGTAGTTGTGAATTAAACATAAGATTGACTTTTAGTAATATTATTTATAATGAGTATTGAATAAAAGTTTTTATTTGTATTTGTCAGGTGTCTCCAGCGAAGCTGGCGCTGCGGCGGCACCTGTCACAGGAGCGGCTGGCGGCGCCCGGCGCGCGCACCATCGGCGACCTCGTCAACGGCGAGATCGAGCGCACGCTTGAGATATCCAACCAGAGCATCATCAACGCCGCCGTCAACATGAGCGCGCGCTACCACGAGCCCGCCGCGCACCACCAGCCGCACCAGCTGCACCAGCCGCACCAACAGCACCAATCCCACCAGCCGCTCGAAGGTACGCTCAATGAGGGCTAATCATTTTCCGCTCACCAGACGTCGCTACTTGGGACTTAGGTGAAGTTATTTGTTATGCAACATAAGGGAAAAGTTGCGTTTCATATAAAAGTTTCGCTTTTTAATTTTTTGCTCATTTTTTAACTCTTATATATATTTTTAACTCAATTTTATTTAAATTAATTTTACAGTTTGGTTTATTCATTTCAATCTAATTAATACAAAATATAACTAATCTTTTAGAAAGAAACATTACATAACCTCTTTAATTTCCTAATCATTTAATTTCTATAATGGCTTCTCATATGCAAAAATGTCACCACTCCGGTGGCAAAAATTTATAGATCACCATTGTGTTCCACCATCGTTCCTTTATGCCTGCTCTACTAGAGACCATATGTATTGGCTTCATACAAGGGTAAAAAAAACAATAAACAATTTTTGTTGATAGGATTGATTGAATTCCTTTTTTGGCTTGTCTGGAAGAAATTAATGTGTATCAGTAAGATGCTTTTCGTTTTTCGTCAATGTTTAATACTTGTGGCGAAAGTGAAGAAGCTTTTTGGGATGAGTTTGATGACTTACTAATGTCAATGGCATCTGAGGAACGAAAATATATTGGAGGAGACCTGAACGGCCATGTTGGAGCCAGTAACACGACATATAAAGACATTGAAGAGACAAGGAAGGCTTGGTTATGGCGCACTTAACAAAGACGGCGAACAAACACTAGAATTCTGTTAGAGACATCACCTAGCAATAGATTACCTTCTTTAATAAAAAACTGGAACACTTAATCACGTATAAAAACGGACACAAGCTATCTCAAACTGACTATATCCTCAAACAGAGAATTACTAAAAACTGTCAGGTGCTGCAAGGTAGTACCGGGTGAATCTTTGACTTCACAACACAGAACTTTGGTCGGCTGTGTATTGCTAATTAAACCAATATAACACACCATGGTCAAAATTCCCAAAATAAGTGGCATTTGCTAAACACAGAAAAAGGAGTCAAATTATTAAAGGAGATACGCTCTATACTTATCAAAGATATGAAAAATGGCACTGATATCTCTGCGGAGAATATGTGATCTAAATTTGAAAAGCAATGCAGAAATTCAGCTGAGAAGAACCTAGGAGTATCGAGAGGCAAGATGCATAATGACAAAGATCCTTCATGGTGGAATAAAGTAAAGGCTGTGTTAAAAAACAAGAAATTGTGCTTCAAACTATGGCAGAACTCTCGACCGCATACAATATAAAACCGCTGAAAAGCTGGCGAAGTGTAAAGTAGCAAAGCAAAGAAATGACTCCAGAGAAAAGTTTTACTAACGACTTGAAAACGCAATAAATAATAGAGATTTATTTAATTTGGCCAAACAACGCCCTAAAAACGATTGGCTATTGAAATTAAGAAATACATTAAAGATGAAAATAGCATTGACTTATATATTACTAGCGTAAGGACCAGGCCGACTGAACAACTAAAACGGACCAGTGCGCTGGCCCTAAAATAAGAGTTTAGGGCCAACGCGAATCGGTCGACAGTAGTGCGTGCGCAGGACAGATTTGCCTGTCATAAATATTATAGTGCGTGGTAAAAGGATGCAAAAATTACGATACAAAGATTAAAAAGGAACATGGGATATTGTATCATCGATTAATTTTGTTTCAATTAAATTATTATATAAACGCATTTTTTAAAGTTTTATTTTACAGTTAGTTTAGTTACGTTACCAAGATTAGGCCAGAGTTGGATTCAGACCCTCAAAATTATTGCACATGGAAAATTAAATTATTCTATTTTAAAAAATTTATATCATGTTTGACGTTTCATGTTTCTTTTTTCCCATGTGCCGGGATTTTGGCATCACGCGTCTTGTTTATCTGTACGTTTCGTTTTTGATGGTTTTATTTTTATTTCTGTTTTATTTTTGTCTAAAGAACTTAGTGTAAGTTAAATTTTGAATATTTGTGTTGGTACTAATATATTTTATATTCAATAAGAGTAAAACGAAAAGAGTACAAAAAAAAAACATATCTGCTTAATTGAATCTGAAAATCTGGTTCATAAAATATTTTGAAATTTCGTTTTCAAACTTGATTGCTTCATGCTTCATTGGAGCATGGAGTTTTTATCGTGGTAGCCCCTCCATTATAATTGTATCAAGGATGCAACATAAATGCATCGATCGAACACCGATTGACCAGAAAGGGAGTTGATTCTAATTTTAAGTAAAAGGACCCAATAATAATACAAGTCGACCTTTAGGCAAAATCATGGTATTTTCGCATTAGTATTACTAGGTACGATATTATATACTACAAATTATGAAATAATGGTACAATTAGGTAATTATACTACGAAATCCGACCCTGGTTACGTCGCGTGATATGACGTTTTTTATTATGACATGCGCTACTTTTTCTTGTATGAAAAAGTTATGAGTAAAATATTTAGATGGGCCTATCCTTCCTTTTGAAATCATTGGAAAATAGCCATTTACTAACAGAAGACAATAAAATCAATGGGTGATGGGGCCAATATTATCAAAAACTACTAAACGAAGAATTTCCGAGTCAGCCATTGAATACAACCCCTAGCGTAGCTGGACCATTGACCAAGATAAGTGAAGAGGATGTCATAAGAGCCCTAAAAGATTAAAAATCATAAAGCCGTTGGTCCGGATAGAACATCCGCTAATCTATGGAAGTTGCTGAGGTAGGTCTATTGTTGTAAAGTAATTAACGAAGCTCTTTAATGAAATATTAGCCTCCATGAAGATCCCAAAAGTCCTGGCGTCATAGTTATATAGTACCTTACTACAAAAAGAGAGATGTTAATGACTGCGAAAATTATAGGGATATGAAACTTAATTCCCATACACTGAAACTATGGGAGGAAGATCAACGACTGATGTAATCCAATCCAAAAGGGTTCTGATGGGGGAACATCGAACCAACAGAGAGGACCTCCATCTTGTGTAGACCTGGAAAAGGCCTTCAACAGAATACCACGAAAATTAGTTTGGGAAGCTATGGGTAAGGTTATGACAACAAATACCAGAACTCTTTATTCACCTGGTGCATGATATAATATATCAAGATATAAGCACACAGGTGGGAAGCTTGCCAGGACTTAACAAACTATTCCAAATTAAGTTTGAAGTGTATCAGCCCATTCCTATTTAATCTATTTCTATATAATCTATTATTTGCGGACGAAATTGTGCTTATCGACAAATGTGCGATTCAACTACAAGCCACACTCGAGCAATGAAGAGAGGCTCTCAACCATTGTCTCCGTATCAGCCGGAACAAGACTGAGTTTCTGAGGTGCAGTTTCAGTGAACAAATTACGACCAACATAAGTGTCTCCATCGACGGTCAGCCACTGCCCTGCGTCAGCAAATTCAAATACCTCGGTTCGGTGCTAACGGCGGACGTCGATATCGACGCAGACGTAACTCACAGAATTAATGCAGCGTGGCTAAGTTGGAGATTCCTTTTAGGAATACTTTGCGATAGAAGGATGCCAACACAATTACACAACTGAAAGACAAGGTTTACAAAACGTAAGACCTGCCATGTTATATGATGCTGAATGCTAGGCGGCCAAGAAGATCCATTAAAAGAAGTTGCACACGAATGAAATGAAAATACTATGATGGTCAGCAGGTGTAACGAGGCTTGATAAAGTGCGCAGTGAATACACCTGAGGCTCCTTTAAATTTACGCTCATTGTAGACAAGATGGTCGAGATGCGCATGCGATGGTATGGGCATGTAATGAGGTGGGAAGAAGAACACCCAGTGTGGAAAGCCTTGGCAAATCCAGGGAAAAAAGGCAGAAGACGATTGTTAGCCACGTGGCGGACAACCGTAACCAAGGATCTGGAATAAGCACAACTTGAAATACTGACAACTCAAGATAGAATGTCTTTTGGCGCATAAAAACGAGGAGAGCTGCCAGGAGAGCCCAAATAAAAGGACAAAGCAAGCAAATATTTGTTTATTACTCTTTCTATGGTTTAAAATAAAGTATATTATATTTGAGCTAAGAGGTGATGAATCTGTGATTCATTTTCCAAAAGATTTAAGAATAATAGTGAAATAAATCATGTGGAGGCATTATCAAACAACATCTGCCTCTTACAGTATGTTCGAGCTCTGACGCTTGAGTGGCCAGCGTTGTATGACGATTGCGGATACGCAACGTTGACATGATTGCCAAATCGACGGAATTTCTTTTTTATGAATAAGAAAACGAACAAAAAACAAATTGGCGACACGTGTTACAAGCACGAAGCGATAGTAATGTGGGCAAGCTTACGCATGTTCGTTTCCCGATTCGATTTACTGATGGATCATGCTCGTATGTACAACAATCATAGTAATAAGTAAAGTAAATAGTAATACAATGACAGTCATTCCTTCTAAGCCTTAATCGATATAAATGACGAGATATGGTCGACAAAAATGTTACACGGTTTAGGCATAGAATAAATCAGCGCCATCTCTTAAATACGAACTGCCACGGTACTAGTGTTTCCAATTATAATTTTGGGTTTACCCTAAAACCTGTATAAATACTTTCAAATTATCGTAAAAAAAAAACAAAATAGCTTTACTTATTGCACCTAATTTTCCATAGGTATTTTAAAGAACGACATCATTGCAAGATTCGAATACCAATTCACGATAATAATTTTGAATTTTGTGATAAAGACGTTCTCATTGTTAAATTATAATAACACTTAGTCACATATGAATAACGAATATGTAACTAAGTAAAATATTATACCATTATTCCAATATACAGAATGAAAAACTTTTTCATTCTACACTTTTGTAGCTCTTTTGACCCTATTCCTTTAGATAAATCTTCATAAAAATTACATTGGATGGGTATAAAAAACAGGGTTACCTAAAGCTCGATTTTACTCCAAATTATCCAAAACCCTGTCAACTTGAAAAAACGCCTAAAGCCGTACTTATATTAGAAGATTTCAGATATTTTACACTATTTTTAGTGTGAAATATCTAAATTTGTGCTCCTAAGTTTGTGCTCCATAAACATTTTCGCATTAAGGAGTCGATGCCATTTTGTTTGTTCAATGACCCGGTCCATACACAGTAGTATATATGTATGTATAAGTCTATGCTTCCAAGCTATGACTTTTACAACTACAGACAGAGCTTTAATATTTCTTCCGGACCAGAGCGTAATCTGTTTATATAATGTGTTTATTATATTATTGATGTTTTTAAATTTTTACAAATCTCTCTCTCACACTCTCTGCTTGATATTTTATTTAAATAGGTTCAGCGATAAAATATTAACGTGCGTCTAGCGAAGCGACCGAATATTAGCTAGTAATATATAATATTTAAATTTAAAAACGAGGAGGTATGTCTTACTCTTAAGTTATAATTTGTAGGTCTTGCGGCGTGCTTGCAAGCGCGCGTGTTGGCATCGGAGTACTGGCGCGGGCGCGGCGGGGGAGGGGGAGCGGGTGCGGGCGGCGCCGAGGCGGAGGAAGCGGGCCGCCGCCGCTCGCCGCCGCCCGACCCGCACTCCAACACCTCCACGCCGCTCGTCGACGAGCTTCCCGACGCCGTGCGTCCGCCCGGTATGCACGACGCCACATCTGTGCACGTTGAATGGACACTCGCCTGACGACTACCCTTAATGTCGATCACCCATATACGAATTAGGGTGATCATTGTCGATTGTTATGGCACCATTGGTAATCGAATGTATATTTGAATGCGTAAATATAGTGTATTACTGGAAATTCTTTGAGAAAAATTAAATTTGTTTCAGATCAGTGCATTTCATATTTTTGTCGAACGTGACATACTTTGTGCATGGGGTGTGCGGGACTATTTAGGTAAATAAGATTAAAGCCTTATAAGCATTTTAATGATTTTTTCGGTTTGTGCGAGCTTCACACATTGAACTGTATTTATCACATTATCCGCTGCGAGTGTCCATTCTATGTGCTATTTTATTGTTTCTTTATAATTAAATCCGTGCGGAGGTTTCGCGATACGAAATTACACGACACTCGTTTCAGAAGGCGAGGGCGGCGAGGAGGTGGAAGAGAGCAAGTGGCAAGATCGCATCGCGTTCCGATTCGATCAGATCATATCGTTCGCGTCGACCGCGATGGAGGACAAGCGGCGGCGGTCGGACGAGACGTGCAACACGTCGCCCGACTCGGGCATCGGGCATGGCGAGCCGGGGCGAGCGGGCGCGGGCGCAGGCGCGGGAGGGGCGGCGACTGGCGCGGCGGTGGGGCCCGCGGCCGGCGGGGGCGCGGCGAGCGGCGCGGGCGGGGAGGCGCGTTCGCCGTCGCCCGCGCATCACTTCAAGAAGCGGTTCTTCCGGCGCGAGCGCTGGGGCGCGTGGAGCGGGCCGCCGCCACCCGCCGCCGTGGAGTGGGAGCGGCCGGCGATGTGACGGCCGCGCATGTAGCGCTGCGATGTGTGCCGCTTCGCGCACCGCCGCGCCTCTTGACATCGCCGCACTAGCGCAATTCACCACCCGAACACTGCCGACTTGACAGAACGTACGTTTGTATTCTATGTAAATAGATCGTCCTCGCGGTTCGCCGGAGCGTTCGTGTGCGGTGACCGACTTCGACGCTTCCACTTATCGCGCGTCGATTTCATTTTGTTATTTTTTTTTTTGGAATATATTATAATGTAATTATGTATATTATTGAGTTTATATTATGTTTAAGAACTGTAATTATTTAATATTAGGTTTACGTCGCCGTTTTATTCGGGCGCTCCGATAGATGATCGCGCCGCGACGGATTGTATTTCATGTGTTCATTTAGGTCTTAGAGTTTGAAATACATGATTCGGTGCAGCGGTCTTATTTACAACGGTCGTTTGATGGATGTTTGTTGTGTTATGTGTTTTGTTTTATGATGTTACGCAAGCTCAGTCTGACCGATGTCGATCATTCTTTGGGAAGTCTGGAAATTAATCGGAAGAGTGTCGTCGATACTGAATGTGTACATAAACAATAATATTTTGTAAATTAATAAGGTCAATCATTGTATAGATCGTATACAATGATGGGTTTACTAGTAATATACAATAAGAATGAAATATATTATTATTTACCGCGGCCGTTGCCTTATGATATGATACATCAACCCATTACAGGTCTAAAAATAGTAAAATAAATTTTCCACGAATTATATAAACAGAATTTTGTTCTTTAGACAATTTCATTTCGTTATTATAACTTTTTTTTATATTGCTCTTATATTTTTATATTGCTAGTATTTTTAATTAGAGAATTCTGCAGATGGTAACAGGACATTTGGCCAACATTTGTTTATGTAATATTAACTCAGTTATATGATTAATGCATGAAATGCATGTGCCAAATTCTCTTATCGCCGTTAAGTAGTATGATTGTTAAAATGTTCACATTGTTCGCACTTTCGAGTGTAAGGAACGATAGCACAAATAGCAAAAATAGAAATTCGTGGAGAATATCTAGTTGTGTAATTTAATTGTTCAATATACCAAATTTGATGGTGCTTCATATACTTATGGTTATAATAGTAAGCAAACCAGACGTAAAAAGTTTATGAATAACTGCTTTCTCATGCTTATAATTCGAACCGTACAGACCATGTGTATGAGTATCCCTGGTATTAAAGCAGTGAGTGGGCTTTAAAGCGACAAGAAAACAACACCTAAATTTTACTATCGGAGAAATAAAATATACATACAAAGGTATGATTTTTATATTAGCAATAAAAATGTTAAATATATATAAACATAACTTTTCAAATCCGGTGCCTTAGCGCTACTTATTTTTTAGATTCACAAATGCTAGCCCTATATAAAACTTGCATCTGTTTAGCAATACCAAATCATAAATTGTAATATATTCACACATAGTTTTAGTAAAAAAATATCCGTGCCTCACAATAGGACGAATCTGTTTATCCAGTTTCAAATAAATAGAAACAGGCCATATTTACTGGTAGATCATTTAGTCATCAGTGAACCCTTAATTTAGTTTTGACTGAGTCTTCACTTCTAAAAACGCACATTTGATGGTATTTGCTTTCTTTAAAATTGGGTCATTATATATCTCTAGTTCCATGTTACAAGTATTGAGTTTTCGAAACCTCTATAAATATGAAAGATAAGTATAAATTATAACTGAAAGAGAATAACCAAAGATTGGAAAGTTTTTTTTGTAGACGTAGTTGTAATAGTAAAAATATATAATTTAATACCTATATTTTTAATAGGTATGCAGTATATTCTTTTCATCAAACTAATTAAATTAACAATGTCTTATAAATTAATTTTATGTTTAATTTGTGGTCTGATAACTGCCATGAGTCTTAAGTTAGTAACAACTCAATTAAACGCAGAAGAATTAAATATCACGTCAAAGAATACAAATTTTATCTTATTAGTGTAGCACGCTAGAAGTCAATAAATGAAGTTGTTAGTAACCACAATTGGTAATGAAATAAGTTAATGTATTCGCTCACGAGGATTATCCGCCTTCTAGAAATAAAGTTTACATTGTATAAGGCTATCTTTATGAAATTAATTTTTTAGGTATTTGGTGTTCCGCAATAACTCATTATATATGTATAAACATTTTAGAGAAAACTAACCTCATTATGTTAATAAATTATTCATTTGTACTTAGCTGTTTTTAAGCTAATTGTGCGTAACATATTCTTGCAATCTTGTAACTTAGTTCCATGTTGCTTTTTAAAACTCACATAGTTTTTTATAATTATTTCAAAATTTACTTCCGTTTAAAGCTATAAGCTAAGAGTGAGCTTTGCAGATGGCAACAATTTAAACCTAATATTGATTTTAATAACCAATTAAGCAATTGCTTGCATTTTACTTGATTTTGTTTAAATAATAGTATGTAATTTTTTTATATTTTAATCAACTTTAAAATGGTGTGGGCATGTCAAAAATGTAATATTTTTGTTTTCATGGGTTTTGCAAGTAGATGTATTTCCTACAAAAAATAGTTTCCATATTCAAATATTAGCAAATCATTCGTAAAAAGTGGATTTCTTAAGAGGTAGACAGAATTTACTGAGAATAATTGCATATTGATGTTGGTGCCTTCTAGTAAAGTCATTTAAGTTTTAATTAGAAATTGTAAACTAAATGTACATTATCAGGAAATTTGCTAGTGCACTATTTACTTAATAGGAACACTTCCATGGCCAATCAGTATTTTCTTTTCGTAAAATATCGAGTTTAATACATTGATCAAAATGCCCATACCATGTGTATTGTAATCTAGATAAGAATTGGTCATGAAATTTTGATAAGAATGTATAGTGTAATAATAATTTTTACAACAGCAAGTGGTAACAATTTGATACTGATGAAGTTATTGCATTTGATGAATGGGATTTTCAAGACATGTTTGGAATACATAAACGATTATAATATTTTGGCTTAAGGCAAGATTAAGAATTGTACTGGATGTAAAAAACACAAAAAGAAGAAATAAGGAAATCAATTGATAATTAGTAATTTTATGTCGTTTTATGTATTGTAAACATTGGAGTGTGCTGGTTTGTGATTGTGCCTGAAAAACTCAACAATGCCGCTCCAAACCTCAAAATTATGTATTCATAATAAGTAAGTAAGCTTAAAAATTGAATGTACCAGTAGTAAGATAGGATGTATATTGGCATAAAAAGTAAATATAACCTGATTGTCCCGAAGAATGATTACATTGTTCAGTTTTGACTAACTTTTACTTTTAATGGGGGAAATAAGCTAATCAGTGTGACGTTAGTGTCTAAATAGTACAAATGAGAAGACTTATTGTCGTAAGCCTCGGACTATTCAACATTGCAAATGCTAGGTTTGAGATGTATCCCTGTGTACTAGTTTTATTTTGTACTAAAAGTTAAAAATAAATGAGTAATTCTAATATATTCTTTTTTATTTTACATATATTTAAACTTTTTAGAAATTTAGCTTACATTATATGTGCACATCACATTGCATACACAAAGTGTATATCCGGATGTATATCCGGACTATCATCACGTATGCTGCTCCGGCCTGGTACGCGCTTCTGAACGACCGTCTGAGGCGGCGACTGCAGGCTCAGCAAAACCTGTCATTAAGGTTGCCCTAGTCGATGGCACGAACTAAGTGGTGGGCGGGGCAAAAATGCATGCTATCTCAGCCGACATCTCGTGCGAAAGTGATAGACGCTGTGATGAGCAGTAAGAAGCTAGTGCGCACACACATACGCACTCGAGTGACGCAATGCGCGACGGCATCATCGCGTACCTAGGTACCTATGCGATTCATTTTAGTTTTAGAATAATAACATAAACTCAAACGGCAATTGTGAGCTTCGTGCCGCAATAGCTTAGCAATGAGTAGCTGCGTTGGGTGCCGCGGGTTCGAATCCCCCACGGAACAAATATTTTGTATGGACTACAAATAGTTGTTCCGGGTCTGGGTGTTTGTTCTTGTGCAATTTATATTTGTAAACCGCCTCCACGATACTGGAAAAATCCTACTGTGGGGATAACGTATTTTAAAAAGAGAAAGGAGAGAGAAAGCAGATTGGTGCTATTGTAACTTAGGATCTGCTGTGTGAAACGTAATTATTATGAACCCAATTTATGTACCTAGTTGTTATAATGAAAGTTCTTATGTGAACTTAAGTAGATGTTGTTATTATATAATAATTCCATTGATTTGTTTTTACCTACTTTTTAACCGACTTCGAAAAAAGGAGGTGGTTCTCAATTCGTTGGTTTTTGTTTATGTATGTTCTGTCCCCCGATTTCTCGAATATGCCTGAACCGATTTGGAAAATTATTTTTTTTGTTTGAAAGGATATATTTTCCAGATAATCCCACGGTAATCGATGATGATCAGATCAGGATCTGATGATGGGATCTTGGAGAAATCGGGGGCACTCTTCAATAAATGACAGCAAATCAACCGCGATTGCTGCTATCGCCTATCTATGCATTCTTTACGCAATCACACAATATAATATCACACCTGTACCCACTAAAGGGACATAACTCTAAACTAAAAACGGTAACATAAAAAAATTTTTTTTGAAAAAAAATTTAACAATTTCTAAAACAAACACAAAAAAGTGTAACATAATTATGTTTTCTTTATGTTTTTGTATTTTACTGTAGGTTATGCAAATATTTGCTTTTTCATAGCTAGTTAGCTATAATAGCCCGCAGACAACTCCCCGACCCCGAAGTATATGTCAGCCAGTGTCAGGATAACTGCTTTTTCGACAGCGCGATTTTGATGTGAGTGTGGCTTTTATATAGGTTAATTAAATAAAAAAAATGTTAGTTTGTAAATTGTTTATTGATTGTTTGTGTTCAATAGCGGTTTGAAATATTCTCTTAGTACTTAGAAAGTTATCAACAATAGGCATTG